CTAGTGTCTACCACACATTGGATTGATAAACCCTTTATGCTGCAACAGCCATGGGATTGATAACCCCTATTTAGAGCTTAAAAACCTCTAGTTATCAATTGGCGCTGTTGTCAAAGTGTGCTAGCATTAGTCTTAGATACTTTCTTGAGATCAAGTGCTTTCTTTTTGTTTACTGATTACTTTGCAAGTTCTGTCTTTGTTTTCAGGTGTATGAACACCAGATCAAGGTCTACAAGTTGTGGTCCACCATTGCCCCTGAACGACAACATCAATCTCTTAGTGCCAAGAAGAAGAAGAGATAGACGTCCAAGGGAAACAGATAGAGCAGCTGATATGGAACAACAGAGAGAGCACCACGTGGTTGACAATGAACACCATGTTCAGGAAGAGCAACACGCTCAGTATGGTAATGGAGCTCAAAGGAATCAAGCTCAAGCTGATAGAAATGAGCAACAAGCCTTTGTCAATATCTATATGGCACAAAGGAATGAGAGGCAGGCTCAGCAGAATCAGCAACAGGCTAATAGGAATGCGCAACAGGTTCACTTCATTCCTCAGCATTAAGCTCATAGGAGACAAGATCCTCCACAAGTGTTTGTTGGGGAAAATGACAGGGCCAATGCTCATCAATATGGAGCAGGGATTCAAGCACCACCGGTGCAGAACAACAATTTTGAAGTGAAAGCATCTTTACTGAACATGGTCTAAAACTCCAAGTTCCATGGATTGCCAATGGAAGCTCCTTTGGAACACTTGGACCAGTTTGATAAAGTTTGTGACTTGACAAAGATAAATGAAGTATCTGAGGACAGCTTCAAGCTCAGATTATTCCCTTCAGTCTTTGTGACAAAGCACACCAATGGGAGAAGAATCTTCCAAGAGGTTCCATTCAAACTTGGGAGCAATGCCAGCAGGCATTTCTGTCTAAGTTCTTCTCAACTTCCAGAACAGCTAAAACTGAGAAACCAAATCTCCAGCTTCATTCAACATAGCAATGAGAGTTTTGGTGAAGCATGGGAGAGATTTAGGAGCTACACAAACCAGTGCCCACACCATGGGTTTAGTGAGGCTTCTCTTCGCAGCACACTTTATAGAGGGGCTCTTCCCAAGATCAGGAATCAGCTGAATACTGCATCAAATGGAAACTTTCTGGGGAAGGAGATTCATGCTGCTTTAGAGCTGGTAGAGAGCTTAGCAATGAGCAATGACACTTATGGAGAAGACTTTGATAGAGCCAATAGGAGTGAGAGTTCAAGCAGGGATCAAAGGTATGAGAAGGACTTTTAAACACTTGAAAGCAAGCTGGACAAGATGTTATTTGCCACTCAAAAGCCAATGCACTTTGTAGGAGAGTTTGAGGAACCTTCTCAATGCTTTGAGAACATCAGTGAAGAGGAATTTACTCAGGAAGAGCTAAACTATCTTGGGAATCAGAGGTTCCAAAGATATCAATATGCCAATGCCAAATCAGAACCTCTTTTACAGGAATCCCAATGTAGCGAACCCACAAGACCAAGTCTACCCTACCTCTCAAGCTCCACAGAATTTTGTTCTCAAGACCAACTTTCAAGGGTCCTTTCAACCTAAGAATCAGTTTGTTCAGAATCAGGGTTACAGTCAGCATCAGCAGCAACCACTTAAGAATTCTAGTTTCAGTTAACAGCAGCAGCCAAAAGCACCACCAGGGTTCAGTCCACCACAGTTTCAGCAGCAGGCGCCGGTTCAGCATCAGTTTCAGTCAATTCTGGTTCACCAGCTGCAGCAGATTGAGCCAGATATGGTTGGGATTCTACAACAGCTGCTTCAGGGTAAACAAATGTTTGCAAATCAGTATGCATCTATGCAGCAAGACATCAAGGAGCTGAAACAGAATCAAGCATCCACTTCAAGAAGCCAAGGTGGCTTACCTGGTAAGCCTGAACCAAACCCAAAGGAGTATGCTAAAGCCATTACATTGAGAAGTGGCAAAGAGCTACCAGAATTAGAGCACAATAATGTGATTATTGAAGACAATGATCAAATTGGTGGGGAGGCAGCCCCAAGGGATGATCAAGAAGCTGAAAGATCAAAGAAAGGGAAGGACAAAGAGGTGGAAAAGCCATCAGAACCAGAAAAGCCTTATGTTCCACCACCTCCCAATCAACGTAAGCTCCCATATCCAGGAAGATTCAAGAAGCAGCTTGTAGATAAAGCTAGGGCATTCTTTGAGAAGACTCTTAATGAAACACTACTTACAATGCCTCTCATTGAATCATTTCTGATGATGCCTAAGTTTGGGAAGTTTCTAAAAGATGCTATCTTGAACAAAACCAAAGAGCTAAAGGGTATGGTGGTGCTTAGCCATGAATGTAGTGCCATCATTTAGAGAAAGTCAGTCCCAAGGAAGCTGTCTGATCCAGGAAGCTTTACTCTCCCTTGTGCTATAGGACCAGTGATGTTTGTAGGCTGTCTTTGTGATTTGGGAGCATCTGTCAGCTTAATGCCATTTTCTATAACATAGAAGCTTGAATATAGAGTGTTAAAATCTGTTAGAATATCTCTTATCCTAGCTGATAGATCAGTAAGGCTACCTGTTGGGATGTTGGAGGACCTGCCAGTCAAGATAGGCGGTTTTGAAGTGCCTACAGATTTTGTTGTTCTACAGATGGATGAAGAACCGATTGATCCAGTGATTTTTTGCAGGCCATACTTGGCCACAGCAGGAGCAATTATTGATGTGAGAGGTGGCATCATTGAGCTACAATTTGGTAAAGAAAAGCTGAAGTTTGATATCAAGGACATGATGACAAAGCCCACCATAGAAGGACAATGCTTCTATGTGGAGACCATGGATCAACTAGCTGATGAATTGCATGAGGAGTTGAATGCTGATGACCCTCTTCAAGTTGTTTTAACCAAAGAACAATGAGACCATGGGTTCTTGGCAGAGGAGACTGAAGGGTACAAGCTGTTTTTGGACAATGCAAGGGAACTTGGTCCTGAGGCAAGGTTTTTGGAATTAGAAGAAAGTGGCCTTGAGGTCTTGGACATCAGAGGCTCAAAGACAAGCCAAGGAGCGGTTCAGAGAGTCATGGCTGGGGGTTTTAAAGTGGAGGAGCAAGCTGTGCCGTGTGAGCAGATTGGCAACAAGGGAGCTGCAACCGTGCAAGACAGCTTCAATGCTGATTGGGATGAGTCCAAAGAACCCCCTGTTGAGCTTAAGCCTCTACCAACAGGGCTCAGGTATGCTTTCTTAGGTCTCAATGAGTCTTATCCTGTCATTATCAATGATAAGCTGTTAGAGGATCAAGAGCATGCATTGTTAGATGAGTTGAGGAAACATAGGAGAGCCATTGGCTACTCTTTGGATGACTCAAAGGATATCTCACCCTCCCTATGAACTCATAGGATTCACCTTGAAGAGGAATCTCTGTCATCCATTGAGCACCAAAGGCGTCTCAATCCCAACTTAAAAGTGGTAGTGAAAAAAGAGATTCTCAAACTCCTAGAGGCTGGGATAATTTATCCAATCTCAGACTCTAGATGGGTTACACCATTACATGTGGTGCCCAATAAGGGGGGAATGAGAGTGATAAAGAATGAAAGGGATGAGTTAATAGCTACAAGAACTATAACTGGTCACAGAATGTGTATTGATTATAGAAAGCTTAATGCAGCCTCTAGGAAGGACCATTTTCCTTTGCCTTTCATTGACCAGATGCTGGAGAGGCTGGAAAACCATCCCTTTTTTTGTTTTCTAGATGGTTACTCTGGATTCTTTCAAATCCTAATAGATCCAAGAGACCAAGAGAAGACCACATTCACCTCCCTATGGGACATTTGCTTATAGGCGCATGCCATTTGGGCTGTGCAATGCTCCTGCTACTTTCCAGCGTTGTATGATGTCAATTTTTTTGGATCTGATTGAGGAGAAAGTAGAAGTCTTCATGGATGACTTCTCAGTCTATGGACACTCTTTCTCCTCTTGTTTGTCTAACCTGTCTCAGGTCCTGGAGAGGTGTGAGGAGCACAGCTTGGTTCTCAACAGGGAGAAGTGCCACTTCATGGTACAGGAGGGAATAGTGTTGGGGCACAAGGTCTCAGAAGCTGTAATAGAAGTGGACAGAGCAAAGGTGGAAGTGATGGTGAATCGGCAAGCTCCAAATTCAGTCAAAGGGATAAGAAGCTTTCTTGGGCATGCAAGGTTTTACAAGAGATTCATCAAAGACTTTTCAAGGATAGCTACGCCTTTGACAAGGCTGTTGTGAAAAGAGGTTGAATTTGTCTTTGATGCTGAGTGTGAAGAAGCTTTCAAGAAGATCAAGGAGGCATTGATCAGTGCACCAATTGTCAAGGCTCCTGATTGGACATTGCCCTTTGAAGTGATGACAGATGCTTCAGACTATGCAGTTGGAGCTGTGCTTGGCCAGAGGAAGGACAGAAAACTTCATGTGATCTACTATGCTAGTAGGATCCTTGATTCTGCTCAAGAAAAGTATGCAACCACTGAAAAGGAAATGCTTGCCATAGTTTATGCATTTGATAAATTCAGAAGCTACCATATGGGATCAAAAGTTATTGTGTACACTGATCATGCAGCCCTCAGATATCTCATGACTAAGAAGGACGCCAAGCCTAGACTCTTGAGGTGGGTTCTACTCCTGCAAGAATTTGATATGGAAGTGGAGGACAAGAAGGGCATTGAGAATGGAGCTGATGATCATCTTTCTAGGCTGAGAGTAGAATCAGATGTGCCTCTAGATGACTCACTTCCTGAAGAGCATCTAATGGTTGTCAAGTCCTACTAAGAGGTGGAGCAGGCTGAAGCTATAAGAGAGAGGAGTCTATCTTTGTTTGCATACATTGTTAACTATCTCTCTTGTGGTGTAGAGCCACCTGAACTAGATGGCTACAAGAGAAAGAGATTCTTCAAAGAAGTGCAAATGTATCATTGGGATGAACCTTATTTGTATGTTATGAACAAAGACCACCTGTATAGGAGATGATTAGCTGAGGAAGAGATGCAACCAGTGCCACAGGAATGTCATGGCTCAGCTTATGGAGGTCACTTAGGAGCTTTCAAGACAGTGGTCAAGGTGTTACAATCAGGGTTCTGGTGGCCTACTATGTTCAGAGATGCTCAGGTGGTTGTATCAAGCTATGATCAGTGCGAAAGACAAGGCAACATCTCAAAGAGAAGTGAGATGCCCCAAAATCCCATCTTGGAGGTGGAAATTTTTGACTGTTGGGGTATTGACTTCATGGGTCCTTTTGTGAGTTCATATGGTAATAAATACATACTTGTTGCTGTTGATTATGTTTCCAAATGGGTTGAGGCTGTTGCTTCCCCAACCAATGACTCTAGAGTGGTGGTCAAGCTTTAAAAAGCATCATCTTCCCAAAGGGGTTCCTAGAGTAGTGATAAGTGATGGAGGTTCTCATTTTGTGAACAAGACTCTAGAGGGGCTGCTAAGGAAGCATGGTGTCAAGCACAAGTGATAACTAGAGTTTTCAAGGCTCTAAATGAGGGGTTATCAATCCTTTTTGTCACTTTGCAGTACAAAGGGTATCAATCCATCATGTGTAGACACTAAGATGCAGGATCAGTTCTTAATTCAAGCCAAATGAGTGACGTTTTGATGTTAATTTTACTAAACAGAGTTAAAACAAAAATTAAAGCTAATGATCAATTTAAACAAGCAAGTAAAAGAGCTTAAAATGATATGAGAATGTAGATATGATGATGAGAAAGGTCTTAGACATGATAGTGGATTAGGGTGCCTTGATGCTAGATTAGTGATCTAATGAATCATGATGATCAAACAAGCCATTCAACAAAAATTCAATTAACCAAGCAAATCCTCTCATGAAGGTATTAACTTCTAAGTTATAACAGCTCCTAACCTAATCATCATTAGTGAAGCATGAGATAACCAGCATTAAGAATCAGTCTAATCAGTCATTTAAGCAACAAACAATCAAACTCTTGATGAAAATCGCTTAAACCATTACAAGCATGGTTCAGGCATTTCATCAAACACTTTTAGTGCATGAAATGCCTATGGATCTAGACCACATATGATGTGTGGATCTAGTATAGATGCTTGCTTGTAAGGAATGAAATATGCATGATCTAACTTTTAAACTCATTTATCTAACACCTAAGCACCTTAATCTACATATCTAAGACCTTAATAGGGATTTACTCACTAATCATAATCAACACACAAAACCCTGTGCAAGATGTGTTGTTAATCATGATTAGAAGTGTTGTTTGACGATGAGAAATGAAAAGACAAGATGGAAAACACTCTCAAATCGATATTAAACTCAAGCAAAGGTCTTTAACCAATGCTTTTCACCAAAAAGGAAAGGAGACTAAGGATAAGATAAAAGTTTTTAGCAAATTAGGTCTAAAATGTATTTATACTAGTCTTGGACGAACCGGGTCAGCCCGGAAAAAACCGGGTACTGACCTGGCTTTGATGGGTGAAAATGAGGTTTGCCACGGTCAAGCAGGTCCTGGTCAAACCGTGGCATGTGACTGTGTCAAGGCTGAATCCTTTTTTCTTGATGAATCTTGGTGCCATGGGCTCTCTCTGGTCGTGATGCATGGCCACGGCTAAGTTGTCTGGGTTCGGATGAAGAACAGGTTGGAGATGGCACGGTCTGGCTTGGACCGTGTCTTCTGAGCGTGGTCAAGTGCATAGGCTTTGGTGATTGCCACGGCCTGATGAATGGCCGTGGCATCTTGGCGTGTCGATGATATATTCATAAATTGCATCATTTAATGTACATATTCTAGTCAAAATCATGTCTCATTTGCATGCATTTTAGGTCTTTAGGCATTGTTTTAGGACTTAGGAGATTGCATTAGGTCCAAGAGAGTTTTGCATGTTTTGGAGTGTTAAACAGGTGCTTTTGGAGCCAATTTGGAGTGGATGATGTGATTCAGATGAAGAAATGGAGTTGGAATGATCAAAAATGGTGAAAAGGAGCAATTTTGGGTTTCTCGGCAAAATGGTGTACTGAAGGTCGAAGGTTCTCGACCAAAATCCTTCCCGCGGGTAGCTTTCTCGGCCAATAACACGTACCGCGGTCAAGTCTATCGGCCAAAATCTCCGGGTGCAAACATGTCTCAGAAATCGCCTGTCCGGGGAACCTTCCGGTCAGATTTAGCTGTCGGAGTCTTCATAAAGGTTGGACATAATTGAGTCAAGAGTTCATAACAGTTGGAATCGAGGCATTTGGACCACAGAACTGAAAGATATGGTAATCGGAAGACGAACAGGTCTCGCACTCATTCCGGAGCAATCCGATACCCCTGAATGATCGCCTGTCCGGGGAGCCTTCCGGTCCGATTCAGACGGCGGGTGCTTCATAGAAGTTGGAGAGCATTGCATCACGGTCTCTTAGCAAGTAGAATCGTGGAATTCGGACGCGTGAGCAGAGAGATAAGCTTGTCGGAAGGAACCCCAGTCTCGCAGGTATTCCGGACCGAGCAGATCAGTTCTAAAGGATGCGAAGGACGGTGCACTTCCAGGCCGATTTAGTTTCCGGGTCCTTCATGAGAACCATAGACATTTGAGCCTTCTTTCCAGAACGTCCAAGAGCATTCAATTCGGATCTATGAGCAGAAAGATACAGTCTCCGGAATGGACACATGTCTAGACGCCTCTCTCTGGTCGTGTACATGCACTGCAAAGATGTGCCCTCCAGGAAGCCTTACACTTCCCAAGCACCGAAGCTTTCTTCACAAAAGTTGGAGATAAATGAGTCCTCTGTCTTCTGCAACCGAAATCATTCAATTCGGACAAGTCTCATAGGAGTTACACTCTCCGGAATGCGAAGTGGTCTAAGCTGCTCTGGATGCTGCGAGTTGGAGAGGAAGGAGACCAAGCCGCAGCAACACTCGCAAATCACTCCGACTTGAGCCTGCGACCTAGGTGCAATAGAGACCAACCCGCACAGTTTGTACATTCCCCAGAAACCGCCTTAGCCCTGCGAGTTGGAGAGGAAGGAGACCAAGCCGCAGCAACACTCGCAAAACACTCCTACTTAGGCGTGCGGCTAAGACAAGGCGATTCAGGCTTCACAAGACAAGTCTTCATCTACTGCGACTTAGGTGTGCGACCTGGGACATACTGGACTGACCCGCAGGATTTCCACTTGACCCAACTGAGCCGGGTCAGTACCCAGTTTGTCCTGGGCTGACCCGGTCCATTAGCACTAGGTATATATAGTTTTTTGGGAGAAAAACCCAAGTAGATCATCTTCTCTCTTAGTTTCTCTCTAGTTTTCTTTCCTTTTTAGTGTAAAAACGTTTTGGATTAAGAGAGATCTCAAGGATTTAATCAATCTAAGTCTGTTTGTCATCATCTCATCATTTCATTTCTGCTTCTAATCATGATTAACATCATCTCTTGCAAAAGATTAGATGTGTTCTTCATGATTAGTGAGTAGTCATCTTTTAAACTTCTAGGTGTGTAGATTAGGGTGCTTAGATGTTTGATTGGTGATGTTTAGGGTTTAGATTCTCATTCCATTTCCTTAGTTAGTTGCTCCTAATGCCAGATTTCCTTGGGAAAGTGAAATCTGGGTTCATAGGCATTTCATGCACCAAAAGTGTTTGATGAAATGCCTGAATGAGCTAACTTAAGGGTTTATGCCTTTTTCATCATGGGAATGATTTGTTAAATGCATGAATGACATATTAGAACTGTTTCTTAATGCTCATTGATTCATATTTCACAAATGATGATTTGGTTTGAAAGTGGATTAGTGTAGAGATTAATGCCTTCATGAGAGGATTAGTCTAGATTAGAGTTCTAAGTTGAAATGTTTGAGATCATGTGATTGCTTGTTATGTCTTTCTGTATAAGATTCAGTCTTCTTGGTTGAGAGATTGTTTGGTCACTTATTAGGCTTGATGCATTATGCTTGCTGATTGCTTGATTATATCTAATGGTTGTTAGACTTGATTAAGTGATTTGCAAAGGGATTATTGTCATGGGAATGAATTAATCTGATTAAGAAGCCTAGACTAAAGAGTAGCAAGTGTTGCATTATGTTCTTAGCATCATGATTCAATATCTAAAGCACCCTAATCAATGATCACATCTAGAGGTTTAGCTTTTATCATTTGCTTAATCACCATCATCTTGTTTTGTTTGCTTGCTTAGTTCATTAATCATAGCTTGTTTGTTTCTTGTTTTATGCTTTCTTGTTGCTGGTTTCACAAAACTCATCTTTGATTACTTGACTTAAGAACCTATCACATAAACTAGTGCCTAACTACCACACATATGGATTGACACCCCTTATACTACTTTGACAAGGGGATTGATAACCCATCTAAGGCTTTAAAAACCTTAGTTATCAATTGGCGCCGTTGCCATATTGTGTGGGGATTGTTAGCATTAGTTTCTGATATAGTTTTTGAGATCAAGTTTATTTTGTTTTACTGATGTCTTGCCACGGTCAAGTGTAGACCGTGGCGTTACCTCGTGGCAAATCCCGAATGCACGTATAGTCTTGCCAAGGCCAAGTGTAGACCGTGACGGTTCATCGTGACCTTGGACCTTTTAACTCTAAAACGCTTCAGTGGTTGCCACGGCCAGGTTAAAGGCCGTGGCGTGGAGACCGTGTCAAATACCGAAAGGTTGCATCGCGTGCCACGATCAGATCTGGAATGTGGCATTCCACCATGCTAACAATACACTTAGCATAATTTCCATGCTTTTGATGCCCGAATGATAAGTGTGTGTTCCTTCTTCCGGAACTCACACCTCACAACTCTAAATGGCATCAAACCAAGTCCAAAGGAAAGATGACTCATCAGGCTCAAACTTTGCTGAAGAAACCTTTGATGCTCGGGGAGTGGAAGGTTCCCCGGACGGCCCATCTCTGCGATGCATTGAAACAATCAACAAGGAGCTCTTGGACAAGTGTTTACTCCGGAGACTGTATCCTCCAGCACATAGCTCCAAACTGGATGATATCAGATGTTATGGAAAGAGAACTTAAGGATCTCGAATCTTGTTGAAGACCCCGGCAACTGAATCAGAACGGAAAGGCACCGTTCCACGCAATCTCTGTGATTCATTGGACCGGTCTTGAAACTGTTGCGAGACAGGTGCGCCTTCCGGTGAGCTTAACTCTCTGCTCACGCCTCCAAAGCCTATAATTCTACCTGATCCGGAACCATGATCCAACCCTCTCCAACGTTGATGAAGCACCCGACAACTGAATCGGACCGGAAGGTTCCCCGGACAGGTGATCTTTCAGGCATATCGGATTGCTCCGGAATGGATGCGAGATGGGTCTGTCTTCCGGTGACCGTATCTTTCAGCTCAGTGCTCCGAATGTCGTGATTCGAACTGTC